AAGCCGGCATCTGTACCATCTGAAGTGTGCAATGTCCACTGACTCTCATCGCACTTATTGCTCTTTCTCAGTCCCTTGCGCGTCCTCAGGCGTCCGATGCTCGATCCCCGTGTGTTCATCATTCAGCCCGTATCCACTGACTCGTCCTCTTACGGTCGGCACGCCTGCCGGCGGCGCATGGCCGGCCTGACGTGCGGCGTCCTTGCCGCAGAGTTCTTCGAGTGTCGCAGCGGCCTGTCGGAGGAGACGTTCAGCTGGCAGGTGCCGCCGGGCGTGCTGCAGGCGCTGCCGTTCTTCTGGGGCCTGGCCGAGGACATGGACGAGTACCGGCGTGTCGTCTGCTCGCTCAGGTCAGTCAGCAGCCGCTCGCCAGCGGCTCTGTGGCCCCGTGTATGCGGCGACGTCCCCCTTTTCGGGAGTGATGTGATCACGAACGGGGTGGTGCATTGGTGGGCTTGAGGGCTCCAAAGCTCTACCCGACGGGTGATGTGTCAGCTCGTGAAGTTTGTGGGTTTTTGGAAAAACTAACTTTTTAGATAACCTGGAAACGAACGTTGCGGTAATAGGAACATATACATGTGGAGATACTTTAATAAAAGTTTGTACCAATCTTTACTATGTTGGTAATGAGCTAAATGTTCCTCTCTACTTAAAACGATGAAATGTGTTTTGAGTGCCATTCTCAATCGTGAGGTTCGGAACAGCCCAGTATTCAGGGTAGATACACCTAACTTTTGGTGCCTGGCAACATCAGCCGTACCGCCTTTTAGGATCCTGCGTTGAACAAACTGACGTGTGCCGATTTGGCTCCTCGGTGCGGCAACTCCCTAAGCATGCAAAGAAGACAAAACGTGTGGTCACTTAAGTCCGCTTGTGGGGTGGGGAACGAGTGATAGCCAAACAGTGATAGCCTTGTTCATATTTCCCAGCATACTCGACTGCTGTGTTAGATAGGTCATGTCAAACTAAACGAAAATTGGGAAATGCATAGGGGTGCTTACTTGACTTCCGAAAGTATGAACAAACTGGCTGTGCAAATTTGCACGCCCCTTGAATTTTCATTACCTAGAGGGCTTTGTTGCTTTTTCTTGCCGGACCCTTATAGTCCCGCTTGCATACCTTAATACGCTATTGCCAGATTGTCAAAGATGCTAGGAAAAACTGGAAAACCCATCATAGCTCTGTTATGATGCTGGACACTTGTTGTCCATTATGCTCAAATACCTTTGAATTCATATTGAGCAACCTCACCTAACTTGTGAGTGTGAAGGATATGACCACTTGGCCAGAATCCGTCTCAGGCTACCATTTTTGATATGGCAACCTGGCCGCACCCTGGCAAGCGGCCTCGCTGCCGTATGGAAGGCTTCTACAATATCTTTCACTCCGCGCTCATTGGTTGACTGATGTAGCGCTGCTGTAACCTCAACGCTGATTGAAAGCCGTAGACGCGCGGTTGCGGACGCAATATTGTCAAACTCTGAAGCTTGCAATACTCGCTCGGAGCGGGCGCATGCCTGTGCGATTACGTGCTAATGTAACCTAAGTGATTTATCAACAAAGTTGAGTATGAAAGGAATGCTAATCTAAGGCATCTGGAAACGACGTGGATGACCTTTATGAGCGAGGAACGACGAGAATTTTTTGCGTTTTATGAACGTATCGTCCTATTTAAAGGGAATAATTCACATTTCAAGGTATTGAAACTAGCATAGATATGACGAAACGAGCTCTCTTAACATATTGGCACACTGTTTAAGTGAAAAGACTACTTTAGACAGCACAATTCTCTGTTTAGTACATATGCTTTTTAATGTGTCATGGTTTGATTACGTCGTGGTACCTTGCACAAAGTTGATTGAGAGCCATTCGGCGGCCGTTGTATCTTTTAAATGCGCTCACGAACGCCAGATATGTACGCTTCGACAATTCTATCTTTCTTGGCCTCGGTCGCCGCATGGCTTATGGAATGGCAGGACTTGAATGGCGTTATTTTATGTTATGAATGTCAATGTGTCTTTGAAATACTCTCCCCCGATAAACCTTTCCCCGTTTTCGCTGGCGTGTGGCTCAGAAACTAGGGGCTTAAGTCTTAAGAAGGGCGAGATTGTGAACAACGCCGAAAGACCTTCAAGATGGCTATTTCAGTTCAAAACCTCATATAAATATGACACACTACCTTTAAAAATGGCGCAAATGCTAGTCTGAAGTTTTGTGCCAATCTGGAATATTTTTCATGTGCTGTGTGAACGGGCTGTTGTCATGTCGGTGAAAGGTGGCGATAGCAAGATCGTGGTAATTACCGTGGGACTCATGGTTACCAAGACATAGCCTCTCTCTGAAGTCGGCTGTGATTGTTTTGAAGCTGACTGCCTGGCTACACACCACTAAATCTGCCTGCATTTTGGCGAGACGCGCGTGCGCCTCGAGCCGTGGCAACTTCCACGATCATCAGCTGGGCGCCGGTACCACCGCCATGGATATGCTAAAGATTTTCCAAGTGTAGAGCAGCGATTCTCCTTCGCAAATGAAAAACATCACTACGTAAGAGTGTTGTGTGTGTCTGGATCGAGTGTCATCGCTCATGTGCAAGCGCCATGACCAAGAGCACAGCTTCGAAACGTCGCGTGTTGTCGACAAACACTACGTACGCGTATCATGAAGGCCAATCATTGACGGCATAAGGATGCCGATATCATGATGTCTACACTTGGATAAAAAACAAAAACGTTGAGCGGGAACCCCTGGCTGTGGTGGTATGACAGATGTTTTGGGAAGAGGCAGACCGAAGTATAATGCGACTGTAGCGCATGTTCTTTCCGTCTTGAAGCCCGTTTTGATGTCGGTATGACACTACGTTATTTTGCTTCTGCTCAGCCAGGCGTATTTATTTATCATCGACCATTGGTGGCAATATCGTACATAAACATCTAAGCACTCCCAGGGCTCACGGCAAGGATTTGACCTTCGCAGTATCGCCATCGCATCTTCTTGACCGCGCCGCAACATGCAACATGGATAAAAACCATCTTTGTTCTCGGATATCCAGACATTATAGCGTACACTCTTGACTGCGGTCTCAAACTCCGAGGAATGCAATAGATAGGGCGCAAAGCTTGCTATGTTTCGACAGACATGCCTCTCGAGGAGGCTTTTGAAATGTATATTTAATGGTGAACCATCACATATGATTCAAAGCCTAAGACGAATCTGAAACGATGGGCGTTTATGGAGACGCTCCACGTTCCACGCTTTATGCAGGTTTTATACAGGTGTTTAACAGGTGGGACTGCCTTACACTCGCAGACGTTTCGTACATTGCGAAAAACAGGGCACTCGATGACAGGAATAGGGCGAACAGATGGTAATATAAGGATAACACAAATCATAGCAATTGGACATAAAAAGGTATACATAATCAGTTTACTGAGGTCCATATCTAGCGAACGTTCTTGGCTACTGTAATAATCGCCAGCCAACGACGTTTTTACGCATAGAAGACGAACGTGGCGGCGAATCTATTGCGTATAATGGACACGAAATATTGTTATTTTAGCACAACGTTCCGAGCTAAGGTCTGACTTGCACAGCATCGTCATTATTTATTTACGACATTATCACGACTTGCTTTTCACTGAAGCTTAAGAGTCTAATTGCAGATTGATGGGGGTGAAGAGCAGGTCCGCCTAAAGTATGAAACATAATTTGAGGAGCATGCTTGTCTCCGAAAAATATTAGCACATATAATTACGCAAGCACGATTGTACAATAATAGACATATTCCCTTCATCACGTCCTCTGCTACATTGTTTAGCAGATACATGCAATAGAAAGAAAGAGAACTGACTATCGTCGGCATCCCACATTATCTCGATGGTGCACTTTGAGGCAAAGCCAAGGACGGTCCATGTGATGTCGTTGCTTTAGGCTGCTAGTTCCGTCTCGCAGGGTTGACACGTGAGGAGACCTGTGCGGCCATCCGCCAGCACGTGCGTCGAAGGGCTTCTCTGAAGTCGGTGCTGAAGACGACGAAGACCAGGGGACTGAAGATGGCGGCGAAGGCACCGCTGATTATCATCACAAGCAGCCCCAGCAGTCTCATATCTGGCATGAGCAGGCACGATGACTCGTTTGAAGAGTAAAGTCAAAAAGGGAAGGGAAGAGACGAAAAAGATGACGAGGCATGCCGCAAGGGAGATGGTGGCCACGATGTCCACTCTGCGGCATCTGCGTATGGTGCTTCGCTGGCTTCCAGCTGTCCTGAGCAGCGAAACAGGCGAGTCGATCTGGACGGCGCTGGGAACTCCAGTCCCCGCGACGCCAGCGACGCTCAGACTCTGCACCTGCAGTGTCAGGCCGCCGCCGCCTCGTCGTTGTGACTTACTTATTGCCCCTCCGTCGCTTGGTCTCCCGCCGCTTCTTTCTTCCTTGTTTCCTTCTCCGCCTCCTCCTCCTTTCAGTCCATCTCTTCCTGTCCCATCGCTACCTTTTTCATCATTTCCTTCTTCATCACTTCCTTCTATATCACTTCCTCCTTCCCCCACTGATTCTTGTTGTTACCCCTGGCCGTTGTTTCTTCTGTCCCAATCCCTCCTCTCCTCCTGCCCCATTGCCGCCTCCATCCCCTCCTCCCTCACCGTTCACCGTTGTGGCAGGGCAATGGCAGATCTCGATGTCATTGGCCGGTCGCGCTTGGACGCGGCGATCGGGGTTTGCCCAGCCGAGACAACCGCCGCGACTTGCGCGGTCTGAGCTGGCGCTGTGGCTGGCGGCTGCGGGTGCCGGGCTGTCGTGGCCTGGGCCTTGGCCGGCTGCCAGTGCGGCTTGTCCGTCTCCACCTCGGCGATGGTGCTGAGCCGGCCAGCCGGTGCCGTCCTGTCGTTGGAAACGGCGCTGCTCGCGCGGGAGACGCGGCCCGCCACCGGCGGCCCGGCGCGCTCGCGGTCCCGGCAGCCGCGGGATGTCCCGCTCTCGCTCGCCCCCAGCTGGGGACTCTCTCGGTCGCCGGTGGGATGAAGCGCCGCCGCACAGTCAGCCGGTAACTGCGACCGGTCTGACAGTTTGTGCACGGGGGTCCCGCCTACCTCCCGAGGGAACCTTAAAACGTCCTTTGGAAAATATGCCTGTTTGTACGTGTTTCTTGGACACGGCAGCTTTTCTCAGAATCCGGACATAGCAGAATGCTAAAACGACGAAACCCACGACATATTGGAGCACATGGTTGAGAAAAATTGACTCCTTTGTAACGTCTAACGAAGTCGTGATGGCATGTCCGTCGGTGTTCACTGCTACTTCTGGAGAACATCGGACGCTTCCGTTGCTGGTTCGCACCACCCACTTGAGGGGATAG